CTTTAACCTAAAAGGACTACATATCGAGCTGCCTTAGATACCTCAAGGAGATCAAGGAATTTTACAGAAATGACGTGATGAGACCACTAACTAGGGCACGTACAAAGGTGTTGACGATTTCTGCTTAGAAACAGACTTGAAGCAGGGACACCATCACACTACGCTCCCTCTCCTGGTCGGGAGCGCACAGGAAACAAGCATTATTCTACATGATAAATGATATTATCAACACAAATTGGCAAAAACAAAACAAAACCAAAAAAACCCCACCACATTCAACATATTATTCATAAAATAGTTTAATCAAATAATTTAAGAAAACTATATAATATACATGAATGCTACGAATTTTTTAAAGGGCTTAGCTATTTCTTACTGAACTCTAATTTTTCAAAAGGCAGAATCATGCGTGTAAGTCAATTAATATTATGCAACAAGTTCTACATTATTTAGGGAAATTAAATTTTTCTTATGTGATAAAGAGAAAAAGAGCACAACAGCTTAATGTGTTTGGGTTACTCAGTCACACACCTACAACTCACTAGTAGAGTATTTCACTAGACCATGCACAAAAAGATTATAGCAAGTCTGAGACAGTTATCCTTAGGAAGATATGCTTGCAAGGCTGGTGCTTGGCTACTATCTGGGAACTTGAATTTTGCAAAGGTTCTCACCGTTTCCCTATAAGAATGGCTCATGGTGCCTTAATGTTTCAGTAAACAATATGATTTATGATGAACACTTGCTTTTCAACTAGGAGTCCGGAATTTTAGGTCATGTCAGGCAGAGGCTATTGTGACCAGTAAAAACCCTGGGCACTGAGTCTTTAATGAGCTTTCCTAGTAGACATAATTTCACATGTGCTGTCACAATTAGTTGTTGGAGAAGTGTCTCCTGTGTAACTGCAATGGGAGAGGATGCTTGGAAACTTGTACCTGGTTTCCCCTGGACTTGCCACCCCACCTTTGTTGCATTTTGCTTTGTATCCTTTACCGTAATAAATCAGAGCCATGAAGATGACTATATGCTGAGTCCTAGGAGTACTCCAAGCAATCAATGAACCTCGAGGTGGTCTTGAAACTGATACAACTGGTGTCAGAAGTGGAATTCACTAGCACCGCTGTGACTCACTGAAACACGGTGACAGCACTGTCTGGTAAAAGGAAGAAGTGATGGGATGATGAAGTTTTGTCGTTTGGGGGGCTATGAAATCATCCATGCTATGAAAGAGCAGCTGAGGTGCCATCTGTTTGAAGAGAAAAGAGTTACCTCGGAAATTTGAAAATGAAAGGTCTAACCCCAGCAGAGTTGGCTAGCGCAATCCCCTGGCTGCTTTTGGCCATGCTGATAAAGTAGGAGGAGAAACGGCACAGTCTGGGTGACACCTGTGATTTCTGTTCTTGCCTCCAATTGGAAAGAGAAAAGGCCCAGAGTTTTGGGTGAACCAAAAATGTCAAATGTTGATTTTGGTTTCCCCCGCAGCCATGAGGAAATAGTTAAACAAGATGCCAGGGTTGGAGAAAGCTTTATATAAACCATGGGAGAAAACGTTGGGGGTGGGGTGCTTGCAGGGAGAAGAAACTACTCCAGCTGTTTCTTCAGCCCAACAGCTATTGCTGAAGCAATCCTTCCGGGTCCCTCGCACTCCAGTCAGGAACTCCCAGCAACTGTAAATGCTAAAGTTACTGCTAGGGGTTTGAACAGGAGGTCAGGGGAGGTTTAAAAAATGGCTTCGTATTTTGTAGCTATTATATCTGGATGTATGGCCAAAAAAGATGCAAAATACGATATGCTTGTACTTTTGTAACTGCTGGAGGGGTTGTATCTATCAGGAAAGTTTGGCCCTAAAAATTAGCGGACACAATTTTCTTGCCTTCAGTTGTTGGGGAGGTGACTGGCGTTTAAAGTGTTTGAATATTGGGGCGCCTGGGTGGCGCAGTCGGTTAAGCGTCCGACTTCAGCCAGGTCACGATCTCACGGTCCGTGAGCTCGAGCCCCGCGTCAGGCTCTGGGCTGATGGCTCGGAGCCTGGAGCCTGTTTCCGATTCTGTGTCTCCCTCTCTCTCTGCCCCTCCCCGGTTCATGCTCTCTCTCTGTCCCAAAAATAAATAAAAAACGTTGAAAAAAAAAATTAAAGTGTTTGAATATTGGCAACAGAATAAAAGTCTCTGTAACAGGTGATATTTACTATTATTTTTACCTATTAGTATGTTGAGAAGACAACATGAAAACAAAGGAAATCTTCAGACAGAAATACTTTTGGAGTTTTAAAAAGCAGTTTTTAGTGGCCACTGAGCTCTGGCAAAATCAGATGTCTGACCCTCAGAGGCTAATGATTTTCCAGCCTGATGTGCATATTTCTGAGTGGGTCAATGTGGACTCCAAGACTGGTAAGATAAAAAAGGCTTAGAAAAGTCTTGCTTGTCACTTGGACTTGGAACACGACTGTCTGTGTGTCTGCACCATCTTGGCTTCCTGCTGCAGAAGAAAACTTGCTCTCTTTTTTAGAGTCCTGAATTCACAGATCTTAAATGCCTGGTCTCCGAGCTGAAACTTGATACTGTCTGTTTCTGACTGTTTCAACCTCAGCATAAGCTGTACTGAACTAAAGAGCCAACGTATACTCAGCGAGCAGGGGTCTGCCATGAGGACCGCTGCAGATATCAGACCCCCTTTGCAGAACCATAGACTGAAAGCATCATGGATTCTGGCTGGAGCACCTGAATCACTTGCAGATGCCTAAAGAAAAGGGCTTATTCTCTGATGGAGCTGTCTGAAGTCAAGCTTCTGGCTGACGCTCTACATGTGATACCGAGACTAACTGCACTCGTAACTTGTGGTCACCACCAAGAGCTGCAAGAGTCAATCTCACTGTGAGTGACTTGTGTTCAGTTTTCTGGATTTGTTGCAGTTTTCAACAACTGATGAATAATAACCTGATTCTATTTCACTCACCTCACCTTAGTAAGGCACCTTGGTTGCTAAAGGCCACTGTCTCCAGAAAGGAAGTGATCTTTTCTAGGCTGCTCACTAGATAAATGATTGGGACAAAAGGCATGGGAGGTGACATAAACTTTAAAAATTTCTGAAAATTTGGAATTTCATCCAGACCAACACCTAAAAATGATACATCTTTCTAGTTAAGGTGTGTAAAAATTGTTTTTCTGTAAAAATGCTTTTGCTCCTCTTGCAAATCCACCTGACGGGGGGGG